TTGCTATCATCTTCTTGTTCATGATGCCACATTTTTTTAAAGTACATGTACCTCTTTTTTTTAAATATCAAGTGAATCCCCCAGAAATTGTAACATTTTAGATCAGTAGTCAGATGCTATCTCCCTTCCTTATTTACTGTAAATAGTGAAATGTTTTCTGTGATTTTATGAAATACTACTAGTAATCTCTAGCCACAAATGTACTGTGTCTGTCATCGCATGGTCTGTTTCAATATTGCAAACTTCAAAGACACTCCTAACTCTTGATGTTTTTCCTTGCCGTGAAATTTAAGTCTATGAACTTAAATGAATTTTACAGTAACTGTTACCATGTCAATTATTAATATAGGAGATACTGTTTGCCTAAAATTGACTGGCATAACTCAGTCATGAAGTGTTTATAGACTAGGGCATCAAAAGTGATCATTATTTTGAGAAGCCGCTCAACTTTTATGTGTGTCTGAGTTAAAAGAATTATAATAACTTTGATGTAAAATAAAATACAACAATGTCAGAGTGCAGTTCATCCATATTCTTGCGATGGTTTGTCATAAAACGGATTGTTTTGAGCGCGGGAGCCCGTCAGGCATTACCGCTCCGTTCCTCCTCATCTTTACGAGGACCGTGTCAAATTTGGAAGGCCATGACTCCAGCGTCGGAAGCTTTCTTCAGGAAACACCGCTGATTCAAAACTGACAGGGTCGCGAACCGAGGGCCGCTCTCTCCCCTCTCCTGACGAAGTTGCAAGGAACTGCGGAACGCTCGATAAAGGAGACCCCCTGATCCCATTTCCAAACCCTATTGAGCGTCTGACAACCAACAGAAGAGATAACAAAATATGAAAAACGGTTGCCATGCGAATCTGTCCCCGAGCATGCTAATTACGCCGACAATGATGGGTAATGAATGGGGCAACCAAGTCTCCCCGAACAGTTGATAACAGCCACAAAGAATAATAAGGGATAGCATGTGAAAGCCGTACAAAAGAAAATTAGCTCCTATACATGGATATTTTTCCCTAACAACAATGAGGGGGTTGGGAGGCGAATACCCCTTCAATTAGCAAGCTAAGGCTGCACATAAAAGATTACAAGGCAAGCTAACAAATGTATTGTGTGCGCACACAAAGGAGACAAAGCTGATTCCTGCCGGGCGCTCACATTGCGGGGCTTCAAAAGCCCTCCGCTATTATCCTCCTGAATGGTGGAGCACGATAACTGCTCCTGACGGTCCCACGGGCGGGGAATGATGCCCCGGAGCAGGCCTCGTTAACTCCCGCGTACCGGGCGTACGCGGATTGGGACTGACACGGGGCAGCCCCGCCGAATTTCATCCCGTGACGAGCCGGCTCCTCCGTGTCGCCCCTCGCAGATGGTCCGACTGCGATAGCGCCGCCACAAAAATACCCGCGATAAGGAGACAGGGTAGGAAAAACAGTCGGGTCAGGCCGTGAATGGGGAGATCCCCCCGGTACAGGTGCCTGAGGGCTCAGCGACAATACCCGTAAAATGGTTCTGAGTACCAGGGCTTCAAATATCCCAATTCTGCCGCTAAAGACATCAAAAGCCAGGCAGTAAAGCTGTAGCATCCTGCCGCAGTGTTAAGCCGCCTTTGAAAGCCGGCATATTCTGCAAGGATTACCCAAGTACATCAGTGTTAAGTACTGCACTCCATACACCAGAGATAATATTCATTGAAAGGGGAATCCCGTCTATTCATCTGCGTCAATTTTTAAAGCCTTCACGCTCGGCGCGGCATTCGGGTTGAGTCTGGAGATCTGAGGGTGAAGACTGTATAATAAAGTGAAACACGCTGTCTCCGACCAAAACATAAAACAATCTATTGGCAATTTACACGAGCAGGAAGGGATAAAACGTTTATGGAATCACGTTTACAGCTTAATGCCCGCCTATTCAGGTGGAAATTCCTCTTAAGGTTTTCGCCATAATGGGAACAATGCGGCACGCATTTTACAAGAAAAACTTTACGGTCCTGCGAGCTTCTGAAGATGCTGATAAACCTGAAACGGGGCTGACGACAGGATATATCTCCTCGGCACATCCTGAGACATGCTACTCGAGGAAAATGCATTTGTCTCAGTCCTGTCGGCTGGGGCGGGGAGAGATACAGCCCTGTAACATCCTGCACATGGGAACGCAACTCATTTACCAGAGAAGATTACCCAGCTCTGCAGCTGTAGCTTCAAATGTGACGCTTTTCCTCACGCTGGAAAAAAGAAGGGAAAGCATGTTTCAGATGCACTGAGCTGCTGCACTCTTACATTAAGTCAGCATTTTAATTTCTGGGGTCAAATTATGTTGTGGTGTTGTAGCTTCAACTGTGATGCTTTTTTTTCACTTAAAAAAACATGATACAGTAATTCATAAAACAGAATGCATTGCATTAAGCCACAGCACTGGTTCCGAAAAGTCAAGATTTTATTGTTTGGGGAGTTGAATCTTTCAGCTGCTGTGGCTTAAAATGCGATGCTTTTTCTCATGGAAAAAACATTGAGATTCATAAAAACAGAACTTCATTGCACTGAGTCACATCACAGTATACGAAAAGTCAACAACTTATTTTTTTGGGTAAATTCTGGGGAAGCTGTGGCTTCAAATGTGATGCTTTTCCTCAATCTGAAAAAATGAAAAGTCATAAAACAGGTGCAATGAGATGCTAGCCTGGGTACCATCCCCAGTAGTATATTCGCAAACTCTATAACTGGGTCTGGACTTGCACACATATGTAGCGTCTGGAGTCTAAATATTCGTTCAGATTTTGAACGAGCGCGCTGATTGGTCCTACTCGTCTAAGCCCTTTTTTGGGTGTGTACATATTAGGTAAGGGCTGTTCGGATGTCCGAACGGCGACGTTAGCGTCCGTTCGAACGTCCGAACGCCTTATCATCAACATGTCCGACGGCGAACCGTACGCTAAAGCGCACATGATATAGCCGTAGTCAGTCTTTCCGTGATAAATCATCAACATGGCTAACGCACAAGCCGCTGAGCTCACGGAGGTTGATGTTGACCTCGCAATCACGTCCGTTTTGGACGATTTAGACGGAATAAAATGGGCAAAAAGATGCATTGAATAATTTCGTTTGTGATGTTTTGGGCGTCCTACCGGTAAAAAAAGAACGCACCGAGAAAAGGAACACTCGCGCGAAGATCTGTGTTTACAAAACAACAAACATCACTTGAATAATGCAGGTGCGCCATTGGCCGTCGCCTCTGAGGCTCAGCCAATCAAATGAAGCCCCGCTGCTCGGGCTAGCTCATTACGTGACGTCATGACCAATCGTTTTATATGTGTGCAAGTCCAGACCCAGTTATAGAGTTTGCGAATATACTACTGGGGATGGTACCCAGGCTAATGAGATGCTGCTCTTTCAAAAATCTCAATCTTTTGGGGGTTGAATTCTGCAAGTGTGGCAGCAAATGGGATGATTTTTCACAGGCAGAAAAATGAACTATCATAAAACAGATGCACTCCTTTACCACAGGCTTTTAAAAGATGTACAAATCTTCCTTTTTCGGTTGAATGGGGTTGATTATAACAACATTTCATCACAATGCAGGTAATTGAGCGAGGGATAATATGGATTCAGGACATAGGGAGGTGCCACCTGGACGCCTTTGTTTCAATAATCACAACCAATAAATCTTGTAAATTGTTCTAAAGTCAGAGAACAAAGGAGCCCTTTCAGTTCCAAATGCCGGCAGATTAAAGCAGTTAAGTCTTTTCTACCCCGACTTTCTGGTTTGACAGGGGACAGTAATTAAGGCTTCAGGTGGGTAGGAAGGTGTGAAAATTACTCAGGTGGAGGAAGAATGGGTCTTAATTAGGGTTTCTAAGTCTTAAGGTTGTACAATGCTTCACAAAAGGTCACTTAATGTAACTTTAACGATGAGAAAACCAAAAAGTAGGTACCAGGCAGAAAGCATTATGCAAAAAGGGAAAAAAGTGACCATATTGACCTACATTTTGTGCTTATCAATTCATTTCACATTTTTTAATGTTTAAAATGTTGTCACGATCCAAAAATAACAACAGTTTCCCATTCTTGAATCAAGTACAAGCTTTTAAAAAATATTCTGTTGCTTCACAGCAATTGATTGTACATGCACCAGCATTGGACACTTCATCAAAGCATGTGACCCAAAATATGTTAATCTCAAACCACTTTAAAACCACGTTTTGTTCCTAAATAAGTTAGCCTAGCTCTCACGCCCAGTTACTGACGATGCTTTATCCAATTTTTCCAGGCCGCGTTCACGACTTACAGCCACAACACCAGTTGTTCGGCAGGGATTTTCTTCTTTCCTGCGCTGCTCTGTATTTTCTCGAACCATAGCAGACAGCACACCAGTCCTGCTAACACAGGCTTATACTGGGATTTGGTTACAATAGCCCTCGGAAATGCCATTATCTTTCCTGATCTGGTCATTCAGTCCACACAAAGGTCCTGTTTCTCTCAGCAATTAGATTAATATTGCCGGCTTTTGTCGTCTTAGGAAAGTTTTATCTGCTCAGGGGAGGCTGAAAGGCTGTGAGATTTGTTGGTGATTAGATTTGCGCTGAAGATATAGTGTTTCTGTAATCTAATGGAAGTTTGGGGACACAGTCCACTGGTCTCAGGGCACAGGGAGATCAGGCTGTATGTCCCAGGGTGGAGGACATGGCTCCAGTACTCTACTCTCCAAGCAGAGGTTTAGGCTTAAGATTACTTTTGACATGTTAATATGTTTTTCTCTGGCTTTTTTTTTTTTGTACTGGTATCTCTCTCTTTTTTTTCAATGCAAGCCAATCTGATGCTTTCTTGCAGCCAACAAAACATCTGCTTGGAGATTATGGCTTGCTTTTGTGTTTAACCGTTTCCATGTCAAACGCACCCAAAGTAGTGTGCAGCAGGAAAGGGGTTAAAAAGAGTTGAAAGTTCTAATCTAAGGCTAAGATTGAGTATAGTAAGGGTATTTTCGATACACAAATTTGGCAATCTTTTGCTCAATATATAGAATTTTAATCAACTTTACCATTACACAATATTTTGAAACACTCTTGTAAAGTAATAATTGTTTTCTTTGGTTTAAAATAGATACTGTTCAATGACAACTACATTGTACACATGATCAAGCAGGCATCACATGATACAAGACATTTTGAGGAGACGACTCTTAAAGGTTTTATTTCCTCTCTTGGGACATAATCTATACATCTTCAGTTCAATCTGGTGAACACCTGGTTAAGCCACATCCAGATAATTAAACCTCTGAATCAACAGGTAAAATTTACCTGACCTAAAATCTATTCACATTCAATTGCCAGGTGTGCAAAACCTGGAAGTGTGACTGTTCTAAACAAAGAAGACACAAAGTAGACTTTAAAATATGGACTTAAACTTCTGGTGAAAATTCTAATTGCAATGAACAATGAAACTAGTTTTTTACCACTTAGTAGATGTTGAAGCATTTGATGATTTACCTTTGTCTACCTGTATCTCCAGGGACCAGTTTGGCCATGGTATTCTTCACTCAGTTATACCTGAAATATAGGAATGTGGAAGTCTGTTCTAGAATGGTTCTAACATATCATATCATGTCATATCATAACAGAATAAAAACTGTAGCAACAACAACCAGATTTTACAGAATTTGATTAGTATTAAAGGGTATGATTAATAACTTTTAATAAAATCTTGATGAAGTTATGATTGAAACATATGTATGTTAGCCAAAATACTGACTCAAGAGTTACAACTGTACAATGAATTTGACATATGCCTGACTCAGGTGTCATCATAAGAAAAGCCTGCGTCCAGATATTCCGAGAGGAATTCAGCGCAGAGCAGCAAAAAGAGCCAACCATTCTTCCCTCCAATAGCCTCCAACATCTCTAACATAATTATCTGACAAACAAGACAAAAAGGAACCCTACTAGGTAATTGTGTTTCCTCATCCTTTTATTACCCTTTAACACTAATCTGTTCCAACTTCCCGATGAACAGACAGACGGGTCCTTCTCTTTCTCCTTAATTGGCCCTGAAGTCACCAGGCCATTCATGTTAAATGGTGCAGGCCTTACCTTGTGAGTGATGCAGTCAGAAACAAAGAACGCACAACATGTTTGCCCTGTTATTTAAACGTAATTAGGGCCCCGACTTCGGATAACTCACTTTGTATAATTTCTCCCACCCCCTGGCCCAAAAGGTTAGAAGCGCGATAAAGGCGGGACAAAAAAAGCGGCTACGAACGGGGTCGGATTCGGCCGAAACGTAGCCATATTTAGTTGGGATGTGACTTGGCTATTGTGTGTGCGAAGGGTGTAGGTTACAAGGAAGAGGAAGTGCCAGCGGTGATGTCATTTTCCGTTTGATGTCATTTTCCTTTGAAAGATAACACCAGGATGTATTTTCAGCGATCTTAAGTTTTCATTTTTTTTCTAATGAAGCACTATTCACCTGTCCTTTGTTTTCTTTCATTATTACCAGTACGGTAGTAGTTACAAAAAGTTATATTAAATTTCCAATGAACGAGGTTAGACATGCTAAATTCAATTCAAACTCTACTACTTCTTATACCTGAGTGTTGACTAGTTCTGACAACAGTAATGCTGAAGAAAAGTGATGGATGTCACTCAAAGCATCCAGAAATAATCTACATTTTTACTCAGTCTGACTTTGCGTTCACACTCGCTGTTTCGGCCGATTCGAATCTGCTGCAAATATCTTGAACTACCTCCCGGAGGTAGTTTATTCTCTGATCGTTTTGCAGAAAATCTATCAGGTTGATGAATTTTGAAACAATTCGACGAATAATCCGAATCATTTTTCTTAGCTCAAGTGTGAACGTGTGTGAGTCTATGAGTATGTTACCTCTTATAACAGGACCAGACCTTGCATATTTCACACACATGTACTCCATGGGAGTTAACAGTACTGTAGGTGAGACGGTGAGGTGTTCTGTCACCCATGCACCCCTGAATGGCTTGTTTACCTGGCCCCCTCCCACGGTATGTTGCCGGACAAGAGGCTGGCGAGATTCCGACAATTCCGCAGAAGACAAGGTGTCAAGTAGGCTGAACAGGTGAACAGGAACCATGGCAGGCGTGGAGTGAAGTGTCCCCAAGTTTAAGACAGTGACCTGCTTTCTTATAAGAAGGTTATATTTAACCCTCATCCTACTGAAGCATTTTTGCAACATACATGTATATTGCATCATCACAAACTTTTATACAGCTGATACAGGTTTGTTTTGTGATTGTTCTGGTGATTTGTGTACATACATGGTTTCATCAAACTACTAGGGACATTTGATAGTAAATTGTAAACAGTTAATGATCATAACCATAATTTATGCAAAAGAGGAAAAGTGGTGTTGCGCAACACAAATTTCAATAAAATCAGGTCAAGTCAGTAATATGAGCCTCGAAGATAGAAAAAAAGAACAGCTTTGTATTTTTTGCTCATTAACGTCTGAAAGCCTGAGGAAACTGTTGAGCGTGCGTCAGCACAAATGTCACGAAACCGTTTACGTACACGAAATGCTGTTAATGACGGCTGTACAGAAAAGAACGCCCCTTCAATTTCTTTGAAATACAACATAAGAGTGTGAAACGTGATTTGTGAAAGAGGAAGCCGCTTACATTGAAGCAACTTGGTTTCCAGGTAGAAGTTTCTGGAAAGGCACCCCTTAGCTGCCAATTAAGTGCCCACGAAAAGAAAATAATGAATTTACAGTATACAGTTGACGTACATTTCTTTTTTGCATAGGCCACACCAATCTAATGAATCGGTTCTTGGATTAGCTCTCTTTCTTTTTTTTTATTTACAAAAAAAAAAAAATTCAGGTTCTCAATCAACTCCAAAATGCTCATATTTTGGCCTTGACAGTTGACAAAAGTCCTTGTCTTCCTAGATATTAGACCTAGCTTTTCCATGCAATCAATGCAGTTTGATTTAATTTCAAAATTCATTGTTTGGATTACAAACTAGCCCAGTATGCAATCTTTGAGGTCAGCATAGGATGCATATTTCCTGTTTTTTTTTATTGCAGTGTTACTTCATATTTTTCCTTAAAAAATCCAAGAACCAACAAATCAAATCGATGTAGCCTAAGTAAACAATAACACCCATCAAAGTCAGGGTCATGACTTTGTTGGCTGTACTGATGGACTGTTGGGGTGTCTGTAACAGCTGTGGCATTATAACAGGGTTGGTTATGTCAGTGGACACTCCATAAGGCCACATTGATTTAATTTATGCATGACATCCATGCACACATTGATTTTTGCCTGTCCCCCCAAAAAATTACTTCCTCTGAGGCTCTGGCCTGGGTGCCATCCTCCGTAGTCCATGGTAGCTAGCAACAGTAGGAAGCCGGCGGTAACAACGGAGGATGGCACCCAGGCTGCCCAAGCTCCACAGAACTCAAGAACTCAGTACAGTGCCGTCTCATAAATGCTGCAAAAGGGTAGCATATGCCGTCTTGTCGTAAAAATAGTCAAGTATACTACTACTACTTCCGCAAATTCACAATACCAGCTTTGTATTCCTGTGGTTTAGCAGCATATTTTTGTCAGGAATTTTTTTATTATTCGCCAGTGCGCACTAGTTTGGAGGTCTTCCTAAAATTATGTCAGTGTGGCCTAACCAAGTGTAACAAGGCCAGCAGAAATACCTGCACAGCTCCAATTTTACCTGCACTAACCTGCATATACCCAGTACATGGACCAGTGCAGGTTAGGTGCAGGTAGACATCAGAAATACCTGCACAACTCCAATTTTAATGTAGAAACTAACCTGCATATATCCAATATTTCAAGCTCTGATATTGTTTGTGACTATATTTCATTGCTCCATGAGATTTATATCAATACAGCCAAACACAATTTTGATGTTGAACTTGAAGTTAGATTTCCAGACATATACTGTAACACCTGAACGACATCATCGAACTGGACAAAAAGTTTGTCTAATCCGGCTGACCAACCTGTCAATCATGCCGTCGCCGTGGGAGATGTTACGAAAGTGAAAGTCAGTCCAGCACACTTTCACCTTATCACCAAGGCATGACCAACCGCAGTAAATGATGAAACCCAGCCGCAACAAAGGCAAAAAAGATCAGCCCCAAACTTTGTATAGAAAGAGGGATTACCTGGCAGACGTGTAAAAAAAAAGCTGACGATTCTTGAAGCTCAAGCGCACAGCAAGTTTGAGATTTCGGACGGGATACCCCCTTTCTCCTGGAAAACCGACCACGATAACAGACAGGCCTATCCCACCTGTAACAAAAAAGAGTAAATATATCGTTAATCCATCTTCAGAGTTGACAGACTGCAGAGCGAAGGGCAGCCCAAAGAGGGCTTCTATAGTAATAAAGGATCTCTTTTATGCGGTGTGGTCTTTCAGGGGAGAAGCCTGGGAGATAGGTTAGGATTGTGTGGGCTGAGGCGCTGACAAAGGCAGCAGCACACTACCCGCTCTGATACGAGAAATGGACTCCGCATTCAAAGACACCTGCCAGTCCGGCTGAATAAACCCGGGACGCGCCCGCGCTTACGCAGACCCGTTTTATCGGCGGTGGGAGATCTAAACTGTTTCTTCATGTCGGACGGACAAAGGCGAGGTCATTTTTATTGGAAAAAAGGAAGTCATAAAAGGTGAGAGACGTGAAAGGAAGATATCTAACACATCTTAATAGACACGGCAGCGTCCATATGTTATGATGGGCATGATTTACAGACAGCTACGGACGTATTATGGAAAAGTGGGAAACTGACAGCGATAGTTAGGAAAACTATGGTAGAAACTAGACAATAATTATCATAATTACATTCGTACCAAGCGTGTCCAAACAAAATATACAACTAAACAAAGGCAAAGTGTATGAAACATCCATCTAGCAGCGCTATATGACGAATGAACTTACTATAATCTTATAGAAACTTCTTCTATACCTTCACGCAGAACTTTGTAAAAGACGCTTCAAAGGGGGAAATATTTCCTGGCTTTCTCAAACAAACAGAAGAAATATGATATGATCGTGGGTCAACAGTCAAGATTATTTGGACCGCACTGCACAAAGGAGATGAGAAAGTGCAACAGGTCATAGCGATTTTGGTTGGAGTTCCATGGTTCTACATGTAGAAAGAGAGATGGAAACAGTGTGAGAACATGGTTGATTGATGTGGTGCTGAAAGTTTGGTTGCTGTTGTTATCGGGATTTCACCTGAAAAAGATGACTATTCAAAGGACTTTAATTTCCTGGTTTGGAAATACCCACCTCAACTCAGATGTCAGCAGTCAACGTGCAAGTTCAATAAATATGTCTTCACATTTTTCATGTGAAAATGTTGAATGTATGAAAAATGACAGACCTCAAAATATTAGACAATCGGTAAAGTTAGATTTCAAATTGACTGATATTATCGTATAAGTCTATAACTTTGCAGGTGCCACTACATGTATATGCACTTAGAGTTACGTTAATGATTTTTAAAAATAATATGCAAAGATTGTAGCTCCTATTGTAAGGGTAATATCAATAATATGTTTATTACCATTTGTTCCTTTCTCTATGTGTATACCTTGCTGTTTAAGCTTGGCCTGATTATTCTAATCCAAAAAGAATTTTGCCTACTCTGTTTATTTAAGGTCTCATAGAGTTGTCATTCCTAAACTAACACTTTAACTTACAATTATGTCTTCTATTCTATAATACACTCGTACCATTTTTGGAAGTAAGAAATAAATCATATATAAAGAAATCTATATGCAGTAAATATTTCAAAGGGAACAATACCAACGACATTAGCTGATGTATAACCACAAAGGAGAAAAACATCATTTTTAATTTACAACCCTGAAACGTGACATATATGGTCTCTAAAATTCCATACCTACACAAAGCAACAAAAGAGCGAGATTCTCTATAAATAACAGACATTTGACAGGTGTTTAGCTTGAAGGGTGCTGTTGTTCTCTCAACCCAACTGCAGAGGAAAATATATAGCGTCATTCAGTTATCAGACCGAGCATTGAAAGATATGAAAAATTGCATAAGCCCCCTACAATGCAAGTTTAATATCAAGCAGGTAGTGATTGACAGCTCCAACAATAACTACAGCGTCCTCTCATAGGAGGTAGTCTGTATGGCGGAGATAGCGCTGCCACAAAAATACGCAAAAGGCCTTTTTAGGCAAAGCCGTGTGGTCTTTATGTGGATAAACATGTATACAATTTCTATTACAGACCATTACCCATTCAGTCCGCAACACAATGTGATTCTTGAACAAAAAAATTTGTGGGACAAAAGGATTTTCCAACAAAAACTTATTCAATATCGTTGAATAAAAGACTCTATACAGGCATTATTATGCTAGCAGGATTTTATTATAGGGATGACGTGAAAAATGTCGTTTGTAGCTTGGTTATAACTATGTAACGAGTTGGAATGGAAACATGGGGGAAACAGTTTTTTAAGAAAGTTTAACACAATGAATAATTCTAAAAACTTACAAGTTATATCCTTGTACATTTTCAAATAGAAATATTTGGTGGACCCAATGTTATTAAATAATTATGAAGAAGAAAAATGACAAGGGAGGAAAAAACAAATACACTTGCTATCTATATTAGCAGTTATGGTGATATTTTTTTATTTACTATAGGTAGTAAGATTAATCACTTTTGGCGAGGCATTTGACATAGCAGGTGACTATCACCTTTTCAAGATGTCAACCCAGAGACCAGACTGTAAGGTTTGAATCACTCAACCACTCAACTCATTCATTCACACTGGGAAGGACCCCTACTCTTTCCAATAAGTGTGGTGGGTTCTTTAACATGCTCGAAGTACAGCTCTCCTCAAATACCTCTAGACAGCTTCATGTCCCACCTGCATACTTTAGCTGAAAATTCTAGCCGTGAGAAAGCTGCATTGCACTACCACTGGCTACTTGTAAATTTAAAACATCAAGCTTCTCCTCAATTTAGGAGTACTGCCTTATACCTTTTTTATGTTTACTGAAGGAAAACATATTGTTTTTGCTCTGTTTCCTCTTCTTCTTCTCCAAACCAAACAGGTCAAGGACCTAAACCAGACAGTTATCACCATGGTAACTAGTGTTGGGTTACATCATGTTGCAATTTTATAGCAGGAGGGATTGAAACTCCTGTCTGACCATGTAATATATATGAATGTGTTTGAATAAGAATTAATTTCTAAATATCATTCCCCTGGAGTGAAAAATGGACAATCCCTAACTGGATAAGCCCTCCTGTCAGGAAGAATCCAGTCTTGTTTATTGACAGAGGTGTCAGGGACATAAGTATGGCTTAACCCTCCTGACCCTGAGATGTACAGTACAGCCAGGTTTTCTCTACCTGGTCTACGCTCTGGTCACAAATCCCCCATTCAGTCTGATCCAGGGCGTGACCACTCGGACTAACTGTGGGGAGAAAAGAGCCCTTTATACATACTTACTGTAATCCCTGGAATAACATCTCTACACAGACATGTCATAGATCGGGGGTTATGACAACATTATAGGATCTCCAGTGAGGATTGACAGAGAGCGAGCTGCATATGTACATAGTAAAGGCCAGATATGGAACTACAGAAGAACAGTGGGTTTGGAATACTGGAAATCACAATTTTTTTGTGGTATTTTTATATTCAACATTTTCACGGTCACTACTGTACATATCATTAATGTAAATAAATACTTTGCTTTCTTTTTGCTACACCTGCCTCCACCATGAATGTACAGTTCTGCAAACAAGTCCATTTTTCTCAGACTGTGAAGATAAAGTGGTTCATAGTAGTTTTTTCTGCATACCTGCACTGATGCAGGTAACATCCCAAAATCATCTGCATCTGCAATATGACCTGGACGCACAACTCTTTTTGTTTCACTTTTAGTCTATCAAAAAACGATTTAAAAACGTTTCTAGTAGCACCATATTTAATCTTGCTGTCTGCGATATCAAAAAATTCTACCATGAAAACTACAGGGCATCTGAGAGGGCTGTTTGTTTACAAGTAAACTGCCTTTATTCGTAACACACCAAATCAGAAAAAAATGAAGCGGGCAAACCCGTGAACCAACAAATTAAATTGGTGTGGCCTTATATTTATAAAAAACACTATGTACGTTGTACCCATTACTTTGCTAATCCTACCTATTTATAAACTTGAATTTAACACATCACATATGTACATAAATCTAATACAAAGAACCGTGATACTTCAACCTTAACGTATTAACGGTAGAGAAGATAGTTTATGCCATGAAAATTCAAACAGATTTGTCTCACTGGCGCAAAACCTCTCTTTCTAAAACTGGAATATTCTTCTCTCACTTTGTAGAATCAGAACTCATGTATCCATCCAGTCAAAATAATTTTACTGTAAGGAAAGTTCAGAAAGTTAAGGATAAAGATCACAGTTCTTAAGCAGTAGGAGGCTTATCGACTCAATATCAATTTCATACAGTATTTTGTTCCACCCTGTGGCACAATGCAAACAACAACTTAAGCAGCTTTGCAAAAGATTAATCCTAAACTCTCCTTATTTAACTTTCAAAATGCTCTACTAAGTGCATAAGGTACCTCTGAATGATTTTGATACCCGCCGAGGCATTTTATGCACACAGAACAGATTGGCAAGGGAGCAGGGGGTTTGCCCTAAGGAATTTACACATCGCCGTAATCAAGTTATCAATTTGTGTTCCTGTACTCACGATCCAAAATGAAGTCTGAGACAGGAAGGGCACCTAGTGGAGAACAAGGCGTAATGTCATTACCTAACCACATATCCGAGGAGTGTGTCAGTACAGCAAATGATTATGTCAGCATTTAGATTATTACAAAGGGCGTGATTTTCCCCGATTGCAGCCGTAATTGGCACAAAAGAGAAAACACAAATAGGTACAATTAGGTGGGGAATGTCATTGAAGAGATGTCAGGACAGAATAAATGCATGACCTAATGCTTGTCTGTAGGTCTAGGCTGGGACTCAATGGCTCTGTTGTGCGCGGGGCGTGGACGGGAAGATCCCGGGCAAGCGTGCGACAAAGCGCGTCTCCTACTTGAGAAGAGAAAAAGGAAACGTTGACTATGGGCTGAACAATGATTTATGTATGAAGCGGGAATACTTGACATGCATGTACGCATGTCGGAGCCAAGAAGGCTGATGCCAACTTATTGGATGGAGCGTTTGAAAGAGATACAATTTGTACAAGTTGTTGGAGCGTGTAGGCCAAATCCCTGGTTAACCCTG